ACAAGGGTGGAACAAGAAATACCGGCTGTTTCTCTGTAACTCGATTTTGACGCTTTGTGTTTCGTGCTTCTCATGTGCGACTCTACTGCCTAAATTCCCATCGTTCCGAGCTTGAATGACTTCTTGCACAAAATACACTGTGCCTCATGTATGTTCCCTGGTTTTAGCCATGGAGAAAACTCTTGGCTGGAGACAATTTTCGTTACATTTACACTTGCTCATATTTTCCAGACAAAAAGTAAATGGCGCATCTCCCAAATCTCCCAGCCGCAACAACACTTTTATTGGTTCCGCTATCGGGACGGAACCAAAAATGGCGAGCCGTTATTTTTTTTTTTATAAAAATTTTTTTTTTTAATTTTTATGTTTTATTTAGATTACAAAAATAAATCGTAATAAAAATAATCCTATTTATGATGTTTTAAAAAATAAGACCTACGAAAGACAAATTTAAGACATTTTAATAACAATTAAGGCCCTAGTTTTATTTTGAAGAATTCAATGCCTTTTAAGACTTTTTAAGGACCCGCGGGAACCCTGGAATAGCATAGAATCCAACTTTATTGTCATTACACTGTCACAGCACGTACAAAGCAATGAAATTAACACTTTGCATTTAACTTATCCCCTTGGGGAGCAGTAGGCTGCCATTGTGCGGCGCCCTGGGAGCAGTGTGGGGTTAAGGGTCTTGCTCAGGGACCCAGAGCACCAGTCCAAGGGAGTGGGGCATGAAATCAGAACCTCTGGGGCTCAAGCGCAATGCCCTAACCACTAGGCCACCACTCCCCAATTTATATCTTGGAATCACAAAGGCTTAAACTTTGAGTTGGTTTTTAAAGTTGTCAGGAACTCCATTGTCTAAAAATGTCTGAGAGGAATCAAAATAGGTGGTTTCATTGAGAGAAAAAAGCTTTTTCAAAGGGAATATGTCACAAAGAACTAATAAAGTAGAGCACATCAACCCAGTTCTGAAGTCCTTCCACTGGCTCCCTGTAGCTCAGAGAGGAGACTTAAAAATCCTTCTGTTAGTTTATAAATCACTGAATAGATCAGCAGCTCAATATATAACAGATATGTTGTCAGTGGGTCAACCTCTCAGAAAACTCAGGTCTTATAGTTCCAGTTTACTCTGTACACACAGAACTAGAACCAAACATGGAGAAGCATTTATTTTCAATTTATTTGGCCAAATCGTTAGATAGAAAGGAGTCTGGACTCACCAAAAGTCCAGGCTTAATGTCATGCAGGACGGTTGGGTCAGGCTTTCAGATGCAATTTGCGTTTATTAAGATTTAGTGCATAAAAAATTTGGTTACGCTTATAAAATGGAGGACTAGTCCTTTACTATACTCTTTGACAATGATGATAAGAGAGAAAGTTGTAAAGAAAAGGAAATTAGACTCAATTGGAAGGTATCCCTGCCTGGCGTTCTGATCAGTTTCTCTCATCCAAATTACACTTGAATTGTTAAATAAAAAAACTATTTAAAAACGATTGCTATAATATCGACGATTAAAAAAAAAGGATCAACTGTTTGTGGGAATAATCCTGGGAAAAAGCATCATCAGACATGAGAAGTAATGTGATTCAGCACCTCTCTAACTGTTGCAGCTCTAGATTTGTCTCTTGGCATTTAATTAATTCAATACAGCTAAAAAGGTCGTCACACTTTAGTGATCGTTTAAAAATGCATCAACAAATATACATAAATATTTAAAGCTGTCACTGACTGAGGAGGAGTCGCTATGAACGGTAAAATGAAGAGCTGTAGGCGACGGGCTGCTACAGTTTCTAGGAAATTAAGTTCACTTTCATTTCCGCTGATGCCTGTTGTTAGCAGATACAGACTCTCGGCCTCATTTTAAATTATGCTTGCTAACCAAATATGGAGAACCCATAAGCTTTTCTTGTGTTTGTTTTTTTTTTTTTTTTACTTGTAAACAAAGTAAAGTCACAGCTGGGTATTAAACAAAATTATAAGCAACTTTGATTTTTTAAAAACATCACTCCATTAACGGATCTACAGCAATGAACAAAACAATAACCCTAAACAGGTCAAAGGCAGTGTTGCCAGATTGAGCGGTTTATCGCCCATTTGGGCAGTTTGCATTTTGAGGGTAAAAATTCCTATTAAAACATATGTCCACCAATCATTCATCATTACTGGTTTATCGCAAAGCTTTCCTGACCTTTCTCAATCACTGATTAGCTAATGTCATTTGCCAGGGTGTTTGCAACAGAGAACTAGTGCAGTGGCTCCACAAATTATGCTATTTTTTGCAGCAGGTGGATCTGGTCTGATAAGCCTCGCGCTGACGATCGATCTGGTTTGAAGAGGAATCTTTTAAAGATGCTGGAGGAAAACGCTGCTTTCGGGATTTAGCGCTAGGTGCAAATTATACTCCATACTCTACATTCGCATGGGCCTGCCGATCCTGTCAAGTTTGATGGATGTGCGAAGTGGACTAACACGGATTAGATGGACATCAGCTAGCCTAATAAACACCCACCAGCGGCCAAAATCATTTTTTGTCTGCGAGTGGTCTAGCCTCCATCAATGTCCCAGGCCTTAGAACTGGCTGGCCAATAACAACGCAGAGATGTGTTTTGAATGTTTGCATGCAAAGTGGGCGGGGTTTTGAGGGCGTGATGACAAAGCTGCGTGACCCTGGAGATAGCACAAGGAAAATGTAAACAACTATTGAACAGTTCTCGTTTTACTCAGCTTTGAAATCAATTTTGGAAGAATTAGACTTTGGGTTTTCGGTAAAACAGAGCAGGAAGAAGCTCTACATTCAATTTTTAAGGACGTATTCGCTGTTTTACCGACAGGCTGTTTGTTTACACTTCCCCAACAGCTTTCTGTCGCGCTTCCTACGTCAAAGTCAGTTGCGCTCATTGGTCAGAGCATTGGCCAATAAGCACAGACAGTGGTTAGAAAGACAACAGGTTGTTCTCATCAACAATCTTCCGATGTCTCATTCATCGGGACCAGACTAAATTACACATTTAATCTCACATTTATACTGGTTTAGACATCAGCAACATTCCGTCCACCCCGACAATTATTGGGGAGATTTCATTCAACCACGCACTGATCACAAATCACAATGGATTGTATTATAGTTCCCTGAGTAAATGTTCAGCGTTCAGATGTTCAATGTTCCAGCAAACAATCTAATAAGCATTTAAGGTAAGAATTCATAATCAACCATTATAAATGTAATTATTTCAGTTATGTATTTTGTTGGATTGTGGCGTTTTGTTTTGACATTTATTGAATTAAGTTGTACGAAAGGTGTTCATGTTCACGCAGTAAATATAGAAATATATTAATTGGCCAGTTGTGTGATGTTGTGGTTTATTACAGATGATTGGGCTACAAAACCTCAACTTTATCTGGTCAAAGGGAGATTTAGAGAAAAGGGCAGAGAGACTGAGACAAAAAGAGACTTACTTTGGTGCTCCTGGGTGATCTCTTTGTCCTGGTAGTACCAAACGACCATCGGCACCGGAGAGCTGATGACGTCGCACACCACCTCCGCCGTCTCACCGTGTTTGAACTCCTGAGGCGATATAACATTCCGGAACGACAGCTTCTCTGTGAATTCAAACAAGAAACATATTTAACTGCTTTTTAGTTTTTATCTTTTAATAGCTCAAGATGTCAGAAATGTTTTTAAATCTAAGCTTGTGTTTTGTTTTTTTGTCTACATCAGGGGTCTGCAACCTCTACAATCAAAAAAAAAATTTTCAGAGAACCAAAATTTTGGGTATTTTATGTTTTTTCTTCTTTTTGTTTTTTTAAGGAAAAAAACAAGACTTTTTGAAAAAAAAGGGGGATCAATATATTTTCATGGGATGTTTTTTTTTGCCATTTATGAAAAAATAATCTTCCAAACTAATGGCAATAAAAAATTACAGCTGTACTTTTACTGTCTTTCCTCCTGGAAATTGAGTAGTTATTACCTGAAAAAAATAAACTATGCTGAAACCTTCATTAAATGTTTTAAACTATTGATTTTATAATCGAGCTATCAAAGGCCATTGTAGGAGGAATACAGAGCCACTTACGACCCTTCAGCCACAGGTAGGAGATGCCTAGTCTAGATTGTATCCCATGAGGAAAAACTTAAACATTTTAAGGTAGTGTAGAGTGAGTATTCTGTAAATATTTTAACACTTGAATTATATTACTATCAACTTTTTTAATGTTGAAAAATTAAACAACATATAAAGTAGCAGCCGTTCAAAATGGGCCTTCCCTAACAAATGCCAGCCGAATGGCCAACTTCCCTGCAACTCCCAGCAAAATCACCTCCATCATCCAGCCACTGGAGTGTGGGCGTGCATATTTTTGTACTCTGACTCCATCTTTTCACTGGATTACAGGGTCTGACCAGGAGATAACGTTTCTCTTTAGATCTTAATGTCCACAAATCACGAGAGACAGAATATTTTAGTACAAAGATTGATGTTACAAAAGGAATTGTGGGGGTCCAGCCAAGGGCCCATCAAGGAAAGTGGGGACATTTTGAATGATTTCTACTATGTTTTCAACAAAATGTTAAGAAAGAGTTCCTTGTCTGGAGTAAATAAGAACACATACTTTATGAACAATTTAAATGGTTTAACTTGTGTGAAAAAGTTTTTTAGCAGGAAATAACAGCTATTGGAATGTAGAAAAAAAGAAATATACAAGTGGAGGATGTTTTAAAAAAATGCCAAAATGTCAAAGTCTTGCTCATCCTGAAAGCAGACAGCAAGATAAAAAGTCATTGTGAACTTACACAATCCCTTGCTTTTTTAGATATGAAAGTTCTTAGTTTAGATTCAGGGGAAGGTGTGCAAGAAGGAAAGATTTCCCCCTCTTAAAAAAAGAAAAACATAAAGATCAGAATTTCTGCAATACTTTCTTTTAATGTATGAATTAATTTAGTACTGAACCCTTAGACAGCAGATAACGAGATACGTTTGCAATAAAATAATATATGAAATATATGAATCCAAAAATAAATTAAAAAAGCCTGTAAAGCATGGAGGTAGGAGCATGGGTGAAGATTCTCAGTCGTCCAGGTCATAGTCACTTCAACAAAGTTAAAAAAGTTTAAAAAAAACTAAAAAAAAACTACTGGACCTTGTTTTCCAAGTTTGAAGACGATTCGCTTCCCATCCAGGAAGATTTCTCAATTCAAAATGTCTTCAGTAACGTTTGAGTTTATATAGCCGAACAAACAAAAGCCTTGTTATGGCTTAGAAACCATGCATATTGAACAGAAAAAACAGGTCCACCCCTTAGTAATAGGCAGTCGTTGAGGTCGTTGTTGGCCTGCAATACCCGATACTTGCATATGCCTCTGAAAGGAGGTAGTCGTTAGGGTCATTGTTGGTCGGACTGAGAAAGCAATATGTTTTGGTCCCCTGCATTGTGAAGAGATTTGAGATAATAGTAGGAAGGAATCAACTCTATAAGAAATGTTTTTTGTTTTTTTTTCTTTAACTTTGTTGGAATGGAGGTAGAAGGGTCATGATTCGGGGATGCTTTACCTTCATACAAAAAGAAAGCTGTTTTTCTTTTTTTTTTTACACAGAAATGTATGTAGTTAATGCATCAAGAATGGATGGAACTTATTTTACATTCACTAAAAAGCTAATCAAAAAGAAAAGTAAACCCACATATTTCACAAGAAAAATTAAGATTTGTTATTTGTTTACATAAGTAGAATTGAACAAAAACATGTCTGAAGAATTTTCCGCCTGAACTGAACCAGATCATTCCTCGGGCCTCATCAGTGTCTCTGATGTGAGCCAAAGATAGCTCGCCGTATACCAGCGCCCGCGTGCCGTATCATGAAGGCGTGAATAAATCAATGACAGCTCTCCTATCAGTCTTCTCCGAAGCGGGGGCTTCAGCATTAGCATTTGGGTTGTGTGATTTATACCAGGTGGCTTCCTAAAATGAGCTTTCACTCCTCGTCTGCACCCCTCCGCCCTTGGCTGTGTCTGGAATCTCACTGTCTTCATTAACTTCAAGGATTCCTGTGCATGTTTCTGTCATTCACTCTGCTCTCATCACCCCCCCACATCAGTTGTACCCTGCATATTTCCAAAAACCCAACTCAACATCTCCCCCTCCTCATTTCCCCCCTCTGTAGAGTTTGAATACTTCTGCTGTCAGCTATTTACACAGTTTGTATCCATTTCCTGCTTCCTTTGTAGTCACGATGCTCGACAAGAGAATCAGTAAGGGAAACATCCTCTCTGGAGGAACACTCCGCTGCACACTTGACATTGGCAAATTGAGAAAATACTCAGCACAGCAGAGTTTCTGCTCTCTTGTTCACAGGCACAGACTGAAGTTAACCACCTTTCATGAGCCAATTTCCCCCGGTCCGATCTCAACTGAGATCCACATCTGTTCCCGTCGTTAGCAACCCGTCATGATTGGTTTGGAAAATATGCCTATGAAGGATTTTAGTGGAATATGAAAGAAAAAAAAAAAAAAGATGTCTGCGAGTGAGACATAATTTGACCAAAGTTATCATAAAAGTATTGACGTTACAATTTGTTAGAATTTTTCTACCATAGAGGTTCTTGCAATGGACCAAAACTGCTGTTAAAATCCAAACACAACTGGTCTAATGGATAATTCTTATTTCCAACAACAATCTGTGTTTAAACTTTTTACAGCGCTCTAGTTAACTTTAACAGGTTTTATACAGGAATGAGTAACTCTAACTTAATGCTTTTTAATGTTCTTTTAATGCTCTTAGAAATTATTTTAATGCCATCAACAAGTACCCACGACTCCCTTATATATATATATATATATATATATATATATATATATATATATATATATATATATATATATATATAACACAGCAAATTTATTCGTCATCTTGACCATCGACACGCTGCAGCCATGTTCTGAATTCTTCGTTTTCCAGCCACTTTTGTTGACATTTGCATTTTCCCCTTCCCTAGCTTAATGACTTAAGGATTTTTAATGACCCGCGGAAACCCTGTTTAATAAAATTAGCAAAAGCATCTTTAGGCTAACAGCTGTTCTCTTCATCTATTCATCATTAAGAACTTGGATAAAAACAGCCAAAAAAGTGTTCCAACAGTAATTTGCTCTAAAATGACTTAAATTGAAATTGAAATGAGCTAAGCTAATGTTAGCTTCACTGTTTTTATTAAAGAAAGCGAGCTTGAATGAACTCTGCTTTATATCTAAACACTATTATTTACGTTAACCACCCTGTTTGTGCACTGGTGTGCTGACATGTTGCTAAAAAGGACATAATCTCTAAACTGTTACCTCAAGGTTTAAGCATTATGAGTTCCCTTTTCTGAACTTAAGAGAGACAAACTTTATAAAAATAGCTCCAGACCATAATCCCCTGTTCAATAACCTTTAAACTTAATACACTGTAGTCAGGCACATGCTTTCCTTCTGGGAACTATAAACCCAGATTTGTCATTGGACTGCCAAACAGAGCGGCATGTCCATTGTCTCCTCTGCTCTAGCCCTTTGAGGCATGGATTATTAAATCCTGAGATAAGATTTTTTCTTTATGTGTTTCTATTTATCTGAGATGTAAAAACTTTTCTTTTAAAATTTGTCTTTTTTCAGGAAGTTACAAAGACATCCTTAAGTACTCAATATAAAATGGTATAAATGTAAAGCAAACTGTTTTTTTTTTTTTGCCACTAGGGGCGCTAGTCCAAAAAAATCCATCTTTGGAGCCCTGGAAGCTAGTGGAAATACTGGACTGTGGAAAAATATAACATACTCCCTGTGTTTAAATCTGGTAGCTGATGCTTAGCCTAACTAGGCATCAGTTGTGTTGTGTTTAATTTTGCCTAGATGATAT